GCCTAAAAAGTTAGGTGCTATTTTCTTCCGATCTCATCATCTCCGAATTAAATTGAACTTAGGGTTAATCTTTTATAATTTGATGAAGATAAAATCTATATATATATATATATATGACTATGATTTCATAAAATTGAAATTTTTGAGTTATTTTTGTACTCTTTTTCTAAAATTTGTAGTTTTTATTTAATTTCTTTGATTTTTAAAATAATTAAAATAAAAAATTTAAAAATTTATATAAATAAAAATTAAATATTTTTTAAATAATTTACAACTTTTTGAAAAAAAAGAAATTCGAATCCAACCTACAAATTAAAGGATGTACTATTTAACATGGTTTGTAACCATTTAGTCTAGAAGATCATGTGCTATTTTCTCCCAATCTTATCATCACTATCATCATCACCGAATTAAATTGAACTTAGAGTTAGTCTTTTATAAGTTGACCAAGATAAAATATATATGACTATGATTTCATAAAATTGAATATTTTGAGTTATTTTTGTACTTTTTATCTAAATTTAGTAGATTTTATTTAATTTCTTTAAATTAAAAAATAATTAAAATAAAAAATTTTAAATTTTATATAAATAAAAATTAAAAATTTAGACAATTACCTTCATAAAAAGACATCTGAGAAGATGGATTACGAAAACACTTCCCTACTTTCCTAGACGGTGGGCGGTGAACGGGGGAAGGATATAGAGAAGGTAATCTGATCCAACGATCAGAAAATTTTTATAAAAATAATTCAAAATAAAAAGCAAAAAAAGGCGCCAGCGATGACGTAAGAAGATGAGGTGTCATGACGCGATGATGACGTCAGGATAACATTTTGATTAAAAAAATAAAAAGAAATATACACCTGGAATTTTGATTCTGTTGACTTGATGCTTACACCGAAAGCTTCGTAGTCGTCTAGCCCAAGATGCTGTATATCGACTCACTCGGCTCCGCTCGGCTTCGCCATGCCCTTCTCTCTATTATCCCGTTTACCGACGTTTACTAGGTTGTTAACATTTAAAGTTTGTTTTTATTAATTTTTTTTTTCAACTTTTAAGTATTTAATATTAGTATTTATCAATCCAACCTCAAAAAAATAAATAAATAAATCATCTTAAAATTATATTCTTTCTTTTCATTTTAAGTAATTTTAATTTGAATTTTTTAATTTTTTAAATATAAATTTTAAATAAAAATTTAATATATTATATAAATGATTATTGAAATTTTTTAATTAAATAAAAATCTTCAATAAAAACTACATATAAAAAAATTTAATTATTTTACATATAAATGTTGAATTTTTATTTAAAAATTCATATTTAAAAAATCAAAAATTTAAATTAAATTTACTAAAAATAAATTGAAAGAATATCATTTTATTAAAACAGTTCAATTCATATTTTAAAAGTATGTTATTTTATTTTTATAATAAAAATTTATTAAAACAACATATTTTTAAGTATTTTTTTAAATTAAGTTTTTAGAAAAAAATTTCAACTTTTAAATACTTAATATTAGTATTTATCAATCCAACTTAAAAAGAAAAAGAAAAAAATCATCTTAAAATTATATTCTTCTTTTCATTTTAAGTAATTTTAATTTAACTTTTTAATTCTTCAAACGTGAGTTTTAAATAAAAAATTAATATATTATACAAATAATAATTGAAATTTTTTTGATTAAATAAAAATATTTAATAAAAACTTATTTTACATATGAATATTGAATTTTTATTTAAAATTCATATTTAAAAAGTTAAAATATTAAACTAAATTTACTAAAAATAAATTGAAAGAATATCATTTTAATAAAACAGTTCAATTCATATTTTAAGAGTATATTATTTTATTTTTATAATAAAAAAATTATTTAAACAACATGTTTTGAAGTATTTTATTAAAATATTTTTTTTAAAATGTGATTAATAAACATCTTTTTTTAAAAAATATTTTTGAAGAACAAATTATTTGAAGCATCTTTTTCACTTTCACATGGGACATAGACCTGTCTGCTTCCATCCCTTTCCCATTTTCAACTGAATGTTAATAATTTAAAAGTAAAAGCTCTTATTTTTATTTAAAAAAATTACTACTAAATTTCTAAGGTAAAAAATTACCGTGTATCACATCATCAGAACTTGAAGATTTCAACTCCTGACTTGCTGTAATCACAACATGTATATAAAATTGTGGAGTATTTCATCTTATTTAATATTACTTTTTTTTTCGGTGAAAAAGACATTTTCTTGGCAAAATGCGGAGCCCCAATTTTCTTTTACAAGTTTCTATAAACTAAGAAAAAAAAATTACAGTGAATCACAACAGAAAAATAAATAATAAAGAAAAATGTATGCAGAGTTTCGTATAATCAAGCAAAATAATAAATAAATAATGAATAAAAACGGTGCGGACTGGGATGTGGACCAAACAAGTGACTGTTTGGTAAAGATTTTTTTTGAGGTTGCATGTACACCTGTGAAATCATCATTTTACTTTAAAATATTTTCAAACTCCAACAAATCGACCCACGTGTTATCCTCATTAATTTTTTTTTTTTAGAAAATGCAAGATGAACTGTATTTTTTTTTTTAAATAATTGAGGGCGAGACGACTTATTAATATTAAGAAACTTATTCTTTTATTAATTATTATAAAAAAATATAATTTATGTATAACAAATTATATTTCACTTTTTAATTTTTTAATAAATTTGTTTTATTTTAAAAAGAAGAAAAAAAATTATTATATTTAATTAAATATAAAAAAAATTACGATGCCTTATCATTAAAAATATTAAGATTTGATCACAATTATTAAATGTGTGGGATATGAAACTTAATTTTGTTAAATTTATCATGTAACATTATTAAATATTTTGACTTTTTAATATCAAAATGTTTTGATTTTTTCTTTTCCTTTAATTAAATTATTTTATTGATAAAAAAAACTTAATTAAATTAGTGAAAATAACGCTACCTCTTTTGTTTTCTTAAAAAAACCAAACAACACATGAAAGTCTTATCTCTGGTTTTTAAGAGACAATGTTATGGCCATGTTGCAAAAGTGACATGAAAGAGCAAATTTTCATGGATGTTCAGTTTGATTCTTCTAACACCACAAATTTAATATGTTGCGTGTAGATTGATTCAAGATATCATATTATCACCAAGGCAAAATCAAATTGTATACTACTATTTTAACAAAAGCAAGGCTAATTAAGGCAACAATAGACACATAAAGCGTGGATGTGGGTATCCAAAATAAATTACACAGCAATTGGCATTTGGGAATCTAGTGTGATGACGAAGGCTATGGCATTGCACCAATGATTGGGTGCGTTTGCATATCCCAAAAGAGATTTTGGATAACAACTAGAAAGCAACTATGTGTATACGTTTAGCACAAGAAAGGGATAAAGGGATAGATCGATCGATGCGATCGATTGGCCTTCCTCATCTCATCACTTTGTTTTTATATACTTTTCTACGCTTTTATTCGAATCTTCGTGTCTCCTCTTTTAGCAGCAATGACTCAGGATTAATCATGTCTTTTTTGTATTGGTTAAATTTCTTATTTATATTTTGTATATCAATTTTTATAAAAAAAAATATTTTTTATAATTTAAAATTTATTAACAAAATTAAGATGTAAATAAAAATTTAACTGTTAATTTTTAAATTTTTTAAGAATTCTAACTTTTAAAAAATGTTGATTAAAAATAAATTTTTTTTAAAATATTAATTATGAAAAAAGTGATATACGAAATGTAAATAGTGAATTTCACCTTTTGTATGGGGGGTAAATTTTTGTATATTTGATGATTTTGTACCGTTTCCTATTCAGTGCCGTGAAGTTAAAAAAAGTGTCCCCTCAAATTGTTCTTGCTTTGATTAAAAACAATCATGTACGATGGTAATGATAATAGCCTAGGTAGGCTATTTGCCTTATATCATTTAGAATTAAAGTTACAAACTCACTTTAGTGGATTTGATTCCTTTGCTCATTATTTAGGTTGAGAGACACGAGAGAAAATGATTAGGGTATAATTTATGTACTAAATATAATTTAAAATCAAAATTACAACTTACTCTAGTCAAGTCAATTCCGTAATCTTAGATCAAAGGAAATAGGAGAAAAGGTCATTTAATTAAGAAAAACCATTCTCTCCTTATCTTTTTCTTCATTTATCTTAATTTAAACATCAAGTAATACTTATATTAATGATTAAAAACTTAAGTTTTAAATTTAAAGTTTTATATTCAAATATTGAAGTTGGAGGGAGGGATTTTAGAAAAAAAATAAAGGAAAAAGAAAAGAGAGAGATATCTCAATTGTATACCTCATATATGAGATTCAAATGTTATAATAAATAAAAAACAAAACAAAATACACAAATCAGTGTCTGATCAAAATTTCCATGGAGAAACTAGAGCTTCTCATTATTTCTTGGGCTGTTAAAATGTCCCGTTCAAATTTCCTGAAGTCTTAGAAGTTTAAAGCCCACGAGAAATTTCACAATGGGGCCATTTTTATTGAGTTAGAGTTAGTTAATCAACCCCTTATTAAGTTAGCGTTAATTTTTTTATACTAAACTTTGAAATATTTAGAAATTATATTAAAATTTAACTAATTTGAAATTAAATTGCATCAAATCTTATAATAGAAAATCTCTTTCAATATTTATCTCTTCATTCATAAAATTCAAACTCAAATTTTTATTTAAAAAGAATCAAGTTTATTTTACTTTAACTAATAATTAATAGGTTGTTAATTAAATTAGAGTTAATTAATCAGCTTCAACAACTATTGTTTTATAACTTAAATTAAAGTAGATATTTTAAGATTAATAAAAATAATTAATTTTTTTTTAAATATATACTAAACTAATATAGGGGTGTTGTTAAAATTACTCAAAAAGTAATTAGTCTTCAGTTGAGTTGCGCAAAAATTGTTCACGCGTTAAAATGATTCCGTATTTCCGTCCAATGCTAACGGCTAAGCTAGGCAGGTCTCATCAGGCTTCTGAAAGCCTGGGCCTTCGGGTTTAAGAAATGCCCAGCCCATCTTTTCAAAACCGAAGAAACCAAAGGATGATAGCTTCTTTTCTGTCAGGCTTATCCAAATCTCTCTCTCGTCCGGAGAGTGCGAAAATGGCTCTCCTCTGCTTCAGTCCGCCTCCGATACTCAGTTCCTCGCTTTCTCCCTCCTCAACTCCGACATTTCCCATGGTGGCCGCTCAATGTAAGTATTTGTTGTTTTCCAATTCCTTTACCTTTTCTTCATTGAGGCATTTCATCGAACACTTAAGAATCTCATGCCGTGATTGCTCATTGTTGTGGATATTTCTTCTGGGTTCTGTCTAAAGTGTGATGATATTTGTTGGTTTTCAGTGTCTAGGCTGCAAATTAAGCCAATTGATCCTCGCCTGAAATCTTTTAATGGGGTCATTGTTGGTACTCAGTCTGTTTTCCCCAAAAGATTTCCGAAGACTGTGAAGGCATCTTCTGCAATTGATGGGGCGAGTGCGTCGGATGCTGGCGAGCCCCCGTCGGAAACTAAGGATGAAGCAGTGGCAGTCGATAAGCTGCCTTTGGAGTCCAAGGTGCAGCAAAGGCAGGAGCAGCAGCTAAGGATGAAGCTTGCTAAGAAAATTAGGCTCCGGAGGAAGCGGCTCCTGCGCAAACGGAAGATGAGGAAGAAGGGCAGATGGCCTCCTTCCAAGATGAAGAAGTTGAAGAATGTCTGAGCTTTGCAGGTTTTAATGCTGACCCTTTTGCTTCTGTTGTCATCTTGATTAGTTTCTGCAAGTATTGACACATATTTTGATTAAAGTTATTTGGTGGATGTAATTCGTTTCTTCAAGTGTTTGAAGGACCTCAGTGGATATGTTGCTTTGAATTGTTGTTTTGAAATTGAAAATATATGGTTTAGAGTTGCATTTCTCTGTTCAGTTTGATCCACAGAATATCTACATATTTGTCTGTATCGATGTGATAAGTGTAGAAAGGTTATTATGATATGATACAATGCAAAAGCCTGTAAAGTTTATTTTTTGGTACCTTGGATGATGAGTTATACAAGAGGGATAGTCATCCTATTTCCCTGAATCCCTCCCCATCCACCCCTAGCCTATAAGCCTGTAGAGATTATTGTTAGGAAAATTGATGTTTCCATACACTGATTTACTGACTTGAATCACTTGACTGAAAATGGACTGAAAATGGAAGGGGTAAATGAATGGTCTGATAAGTGATAATCTTTTCAGGCAAGGGAAAAAGCTGGCCACAGTTAAAAATGAGGCGCAAACCTCCCATGGCAATTAGCTGTTGGAGCCAAGAAGGGCTCTCCATTTTTTTCTCAGAGAGTGATACCTTAGTAAATGGAAGTGTTGGCAATTATGTCAAAGTTACCTCAGGAGCAAAACATATTGTATGTCTGTCTCTAATTTCTTCAATGATTTGCCATTTTTGCGCATGGAAAATGAGATGCTTGACTATGAACACATTTTGAAGATCGATTACTACTAGAAAATAACAATCTCAACAGCATAAAATGGTCTAATATGATTCAGTGTTTGGCAGGATTGATTATTGAATTATGTATTATACTGTTTAGTTTGTATTTTGTATTTATTTGACATGGGAAGGACTAAGAGCAATCACAAATACAGAAGGGATTAAAATGCTCACTCTCTACCTCAGTACTAGGCAGATTTCATTGTTATTTCATGGATCATAGATGCTTAATTGCTCATTTTCCTTGATCTGCTTTTGCATTCTTTCAACTGTAATATGAAAACAGTTAGGCAACATCGGATCGCAATGCTGATGCTGAACCCTCATCTTGTTTCTGAATCTTTTTTCTTTTGAATGTGTTACACGCAGAATGTATAAAATTACCTGTGTTAATAAGTCCACCTTTTCGTCTGAAATTTCTCGATGCCTATCACAACTTATTACAACCAGAACGAGAATGGTTCGATATATGACTCTGCCTATTTCACTTTCTTTTATAGTTCTTAAGACCTAAATGTACTGTTTATATGAGAATTTAACCAGAAAGATTAAGGGCAAAGGCAGTTGCCTTTGTCAATCTTTCATTCAAAAATTAATAGGGAAAAAAATAGAACAGCTGTTGAGAGTGGGATTTGAACCCACGCCCTTTCGGACCAGAACCTTAATCTGGCGCCTTAGACCAACTCGGCCATCTCAACTGATGTTAGCCAAGCGTAGATAAAATTATTTATCAATTATTCGCATAATGTTCATTTAGTTCCCAACCTCATCCAAAACGTAAGGTTTTCCCTCATTTTCTGCATTTCAACTTGTTCTAGGCACCCTTTCTTTCTTCAGCGGTCGGCTGCAAAAACGCGTTTGAACATCGATATTCATTGACTACTATCTGTCTACATAAGTTGGACTTTCAAAAATCAATAATTAAACGTCGTAAGTGAGAAGACTATGAAAGCAACCGCCAAGTATACGTAATATCATTCCATGGCTAACATTGACTGACGTAGCTATGGCTGCCATGCCAAAACGCTCCAACAACCAATTTCTCCTTTCACACCACCAAGATCCTACTCCCGCGTTGTCCCACTTGGTATTATGTTGCCACTTCTTTTGGTACAAACAAAACGCCAATTAGATTTGTTTACATGTACAAAATAAACGAGGCCCCAGAACTCGAAAATGATAACTTGAAAATGATTAGTGGAATGAAACTAACTAAAAAGTCTATGTACATACACGAAAGGAGAATCATGCTGTTTCTTCTTTCATCATTGTAAGTTTCCTTCATAATCCTTCCTTCTCATTCCCATCCGTCCGTGACTATTTCACACTGTCAAATGTAGTCTTGATTAAGGGAGGAGTAGAGCAGTCAAACCAATGTGTCACCTCTCCGAATGTTAAACTTACACAGTGGGCACGTTGCATTTATCTGAAGCCATTTACCAATGCATCCAGAATGGAAATGGTGATTGCAGGGAAGAATGTATAACTCTGCCCCTTCTGAATATCGAGAAAGGCAAATGCAGCACTCCTGCAGTATGAGAGGCAAGTTCATTTCATTAAATATCATTGGGCACAATTGATAACTAAAGCGAACAGATATTCTGCTTTAATTCAAGCGTGTCAACTTACATCAAAGTAAAAACTAAACTACATTGTACTACAAGAAAGATCTGAAGTTACAGCTATTTGCCTCCTTTTTTTGCCCCCCATCTTTAAGATTTTTTTTTCTTCCTAAGGACTGGGTGGAGGGAGGGGAGGGAATAGGAAAGGGAAAACAGCTTGTTTCACTCTTTTCAATCTTGTATAAGGATTCTGATTCCAGGATGCCCAAGAAAGAACTTACCCAGTACTCACATTTGGATTTTAATTTTAGAGTGATTCTATTGATCTTTCTTAAGGATTCTCATTCATAATTCGCTTAAAGTGAAATCCAAAGGTAAATAAAAACTAATTTGTAGCCCTTTAATTACTCAAAAGTAATTTGAAATATGGAATGAGGGAATCTAAAGCATAGGATATCTGAAGTTTCCTTTTACCCGTCTCTCTTGCCCACCCTCCCCATTTTTTTCATCATTTTCTCCCAGATTCTCCCTTTATCTACTTTTTATCTTTCCATGCAGTATCACTTCTAGACACATGCCAAACATTTTTAACATAATGAAACCACAAAATTTGGTACAAAATCTGCCACAAGGTAATATAGTGAACTAGATAATCTGATCAAATAGAATTGTCAATAGCAGGAACAAAATGGAAGAGGGAGGGGATGTGTGTGCAGGTACTTACAGAATCATCTGGCTGAAGAGTAAATTCACTGTCTACGCTTTTGTTCCCTAGCTCAACACTCATTCTGCAATTTTCCTCCTCATAATTATCTGGTGTTCTCATTAGACTAGTCTTGTGGTATTTATACTTGGGAAGTCTCCTGATATCATCTTCAGAAGCAGCTTGTCTGGTTGTAATAGCACAGGCAATTGCTACAATAGGCATGCAGCAGAAGACAGCAAAGAATATGATACATGCCATCCCAGTGCAAAAGACTATGAAGAACACGTCGAAGGCCAGAAAGATCACTGTTAACCTGCAATCCAAAATGCCTTCAATGTTGAGAACTCCACTTGAGTCATTTGTGTAAGCCTACTGAAGATTCTATCATAGTTTTGTGGGTCAAAATTCCATGAATATATTAAGACGTCCAAAATAACTGGTTTACATTATCAGAATCTAAGTAAAAACTTCAAAATCCTATCAACACATTTACTGAGAGCAAAGGGGAATGACACTTTAGAAATCAGAGATCAATTGGGGAGATTTGCAAAAAATAATGAAGTGAAAAAACATAATAAGCCATCACGAATTACAGTTTTACCAACCATTGTGTTGAAGAAGGGTTGGTGACAGAACATCCATTATGAGAGAACTAACCAGACGATTTTCAAGCACCTTCATTTTTCTCATGAATATGTAACTCAAAAAATTGTTTGACTTATCATTTGTCAAGAACTATATACCCCTTTCTCTCATCTCTATAGTAAGGGCGACAATCTTACCATGGCTTTTGCAATAACAATGGTGGCCTATTTCTCTTCAGAATCAATCTCTGTCATTCTCAAACAGCCAGATTTTATGGAAATCTCTCTAGACTGATGGGAATTTTTGACAAAAATTTACAGGGAAATGATGGGATTTTCTTTATCATTTGAGTAGGGTTTGATTTTCTAGTGTGCTTTATCTGTTTTTAACTCTTAATTGAATAACTACAAAGTTAATTTTTTATGGCACTAGGTTGTTCAGTAAAGCATTAGATTTGTAAATATTGTCCAAGGCTGGAATGGTGGTTCCTCAGCCATGCCTCATGAAGCACGCTGAGTTCAACCATTCCCCACTATACCATGCTAACCAGGCCCATAGATTTACAAAGTAATTACACAGTGCATTAGGATTAACGTTAAGGGACTAAAGATGCCTAGGAGCTGATCAGGTTCTAAAATAAGCCCAGATCCTCACTTATATCTTTATTAGAATAAATCAAAATGAAGAAAAAAAAAAAGAAAAAAAAGACACTTCTCCGACACTATTGAGCTTTAAATCAGCCAATAGGACAGTTAACCAAGGTTTCTTAACTTTTCATTCTCTCCTAGCTAGTCTGTGAGTGCACCCATGTATGCATACATCCTAGACACACATTTTATGATGACTAGTCAACACATATTAGAATCTTAGGGCATTGTCAATCGCACCAGTAGAGACGGGGAGATTCTTGAGGAAGCACTTGGCCATCAATCACAATCCAATAGAACCCAATCATCCACCAGATGGATGACATTATTGTATTCAGTGACTCCAGCCTTTTCAAAATGCTGAAAATCAGACAAAATAATTTGATCAGCCTTTTCATTGACAGCTTCCTGTTCTGTGATACTTACTCTAACATGTAACTACATCAATAAAAGCACTAAAAGAATAACAAAATTGGATTAAAAGAACCTAAATATGATTAATTCTTTTTCTTGAATCTCATAAAAAGTTTTGTAGCTATCTTTAAGTGCTGATTGAGGCTGTTTCGAGTCGACCAATCCAGGATTTGGGATGCAGAGAAATCTTTAGGGGAAAAAAACCAGAAAAATCGAATTCATAGACAGAAATGGAAAGAAGAAAGAAAGAACGAAAAGCTACCTGGTATGACTTTGGGATGATGAAACCCCAGTCACACCGTCACGATCAACCTGATCCTTGCTCCGGAACTCAAGAAAGACGAAAGCGACATGCAAGACACACTGGAAAGCGTAGCCGGAGATCCAGGCCCGAAGGGGAGTAGAAGGCCTCTCTGGAATTGCAGACAAGAGCACCAACACCGACACCACGACAAATGACATGTTCCAGATGAGATCAAGTACAATGACGGCCTTGGAGTAGAAGTATCCACTGTCGCCGCCGCCAGCGGCCTCCATCAGACTGCTGGCGTAGCGAGTGAGAGGGAGTGAGAGAGTGGTGGTTATGCTCAGGCGCCGTTGCGCCGCATTTCCTTGCATCGCGTTTACTTGCTCGCCGTCTTCCATTTTTTGGTTCTCTCAACCCTTGGACGGGGGGAAACAGAGGCTGCTTAACCCCTCGCAAGCCCTCCAACTGTATGCTTTCAAGACTATTAGTCCTTCAACATATGCTTTATGTACTTTAATCCATAAACTTCATTATTAATGTAATGAGTTTAAAATAGATAGAAATACAGTCCACTTGGACCCATGAAGTGGAAAAACTCTACCTAACATAAGACTCATATGTGCTTTGAGTAAGATATTTTAACTTCCTCATAGTACGAATGAATTATATTTATGTCAACATAATGCTAACAAGAATAATGTAATCAAATAGAGATGGTCACATGATGAAATTCTATTTATTTTACATCAATAATAATAATAATAATGTGAAGTTGATATGTTAAAACACCTAAAATGAATGTTAAAGGGTTAATAGTTTAAAAGACAAATAGTACGAATGAATTATATTTATGTCAACATAATGCTAACAAGAATAATGTAATCAAATAGAGATGGTTACATGATGAAATTCTATTTATTTTACATCAATAATAATAATAATAATAATGTGAAGTTGATATGTTAAAACACCTAAAATGAATGTTAAAGGGTTAATAGTTTAAAAGACAAACAGTTGAAAGG